TTTCTCATCCTCAATGCTGCCATATTGCTCACTCACATTTGGTACATTACCCTTCTCTTCACCCAAATCGATATTTATCTCTATCTATCTAACAGCATTCCCTCCCCTCCCCTCCCACCCCTGTGAACCAACAACATTCAATATTCTTCACTACAATCCAAATGCATCGACGCTTCTCTGGTCATCTCTGTTCACTGTCATGCTTTCACATGCATATGAAGTGATTGAAAACACCATGACTTGGGTAAGGCTCATACTATTCTTCAAAGTAATATCTTTGCTTTTTAAAAGAGAGGTCATTTTTCCAATACATTTGCCCAATGCAATATGTCATTTGATTTCTTGACTGCTGCTTCCATGGGTACTGATTATTGACCCAAGTAAAATGAAATTCTTGACAACTTCAATATTTTGTCTGTTTATCATGAGGTTACTTATTGGTACAGTTTTTTGTTTGTTTGTTTGTTTTTTAATGTTGAGGTGTAATCCATACTTTGATCTTCATCAGTAAGTGCTTCAAGTCCTCTTCAGTTTCAGCAAGCAAGGTTGTGTCATCTGTATATCGCAGGCTGTTAATGAGTCTTCCTCTAATCTTGAGGGCATGTTGTTGTTCCTACAGTCCAGCTTCGCAGATTATTTGCTCAGCATACAGTTTGAATAAGTATAGAGAAAAGATACAACCTTGACACACACATTTTCCAATTTTAAACCACATTTTATCTCCTTGTTCTGTTTACATGATTGCCTCTTGGTCTCTGTACAGGTACTGAATGAGCACAATTAAGTTTTCTGGAACTTCCATTCTCTGCAATATTATCCATAATTTGTTAATATCCACACAGTCAAATGCCTTTGCATAGTCAATAAAACATAGGTAGAGAACACCAGAATTACGTTTACCTGTTATCAATACATACAACTGACTAACAGCTAATTTTGAGTTCTGACTATGTGCCAGATATTGTGTACAATACATACGTCTTCTCTAATTTATTTTCATAGCAACTGTATATAAGAGTACCATTATTTCCCTAATTTTAAAGAACAGAAAACTGAGAGACTATTTCCAAGGTAATGCACCACCAACTAAGAAGTCAGGCCAGGATTCCAGTCTGGCAGCCTGCTTCTAGAGCTCATGCTGCCGCCTACTATGCTCTGTGCCTTTCCAGTATGGCAGGCTCCAATCATGAGGTTAACTTGGCTCTCCTTCCTAAATGGCAATGTTTACACATATATAAAATATGATCTTATTATTAACCTAATACTGAACAATGCTGGGCAAAGGGATAATTTGACTTACAGAAAATCTTAGATACACATCATCATAGAGGAAGAGACCTTTCCCAAAGCATGACACCACTAACTTTTAAGATCTAGGTAAAAAGTAATTTGAACTTCTGGGGGTTACCTAGATCTGAGTTCAAAAATCTCTCTCAGAGGGTTCTGGCAAGATGGCGGACTAGGTAGAAGGAGTGCAGAGACCCTCTTCAACAAAGAAAAGGGAAACCAATTAACACAGACACAGAAGATAATCCTAGACC